GAGTGGAATGGGGGGCCCAGGCTGAGAAGCTTCAAAATTTTGGAGATGGAATAGATTGGGAAGGCTTCTCTGAATTGGAGAAGCAAGCTCAAGGGAAAGGTTACGATGATGAAATACAAGGCCATAAATCGGTTAAAGGGCTGAGAGATCAGATTTTGGCTGGATCCAGGCCCGCATCCTCTAGAGCTTATGCAAGTCCAACCAGGCAATCTGTACAGCCTTGGCCATTACGAGATCCGACAAATGCCTTCTTGGAGAGACCGCCAATAATGCCAGTCAATGGTATCAAATCAAGGTTATCAGAAGTGAGGGGCGAGGGCCAAAATGTGAGGAAGCCCAAACGGTGAGAAACGCGCATAACTTTTTACAAAGGTCTGCTTGCCAATCCCATGCATTCTGTTGTGATGTGTGGCAAAAATGCAGGACGAAATCATAGGCCTGCTAGGTAAAGGCCAGCGTAAAAATGCTTTCCTCCTCGTAACTTGTCTTTTTGGCTAGCCCGTGGGTACTAAAATTGTAGCAGTCGCTGCTTGGATATTGTTTCGTTTGTAGAGTTCAGAACATATTCCAACTGTCGAGTTTCTCCTGTAATTTATGCTGAGTATGTTTCTCAGGATGCTTTCTTTTCAATTTTAATGAGAATACTGTCTCAGTTTCTCACCCACTAGATCATCTATGACTCGTAACCATTTGGAAATATGTCAAGAAATCTAGGACTTGCCATTTTGCAGAATCGACTCCCCAGTGTATGGAATCTGCCTCTTGTGCAATGCGGTCATTGATGCTTCAACTGAAGAATGACTGAACTAGTGTCTTCTCATAGTTGTGAATAAGGCATTCCATGACTGCACATTGAAGGGGAACATTATTCGGAGTCGGAGATAACTTCACCTCATCTTGGTAAAGCATGAAATGTATCCTATGTCTCATGATTGTTTCTGTGCTTTTTCTTTTTAGTATACGGCAAGATGTGGTCGATTTTGGACGTTAATTGGCTTGCAGTTCCACTGTTAAATTGATCCGCTATAAATTGCCATCGTAAAAAAATCGGGAGACCTTCAGCATCACGTGTACGAGTCTCTTCATCCGAAATTTCATTATCCTCGTCATATTAAATTCCCATTTTCGCCGCTTTTCAGTCGAAGCTCATCAAGAAAAGACTCCCATTGCGAGAGTTTGACTGAGTTACAGATACTCAGCAAGGCTTTTCATCGCTGCAAGAATTATCTTGAGCATAGACGTTATTATTGAGAAGATCACTAGGTACCGGCATCCTTAAACAAAAATCAACTTGGACATCAAATAAACGGCATAAATTCTCAGTAATGTATCGGGTCAAAAAAATTTTGAAAAAAGAAGAAGAAGAAGGAATCTTAGAAATCTGAAGTTTGTGCCGCGAGGCACAAGCCACAAGGGTTCCAGCGAAACTAATAATACTCGACATGTTCGCTGCAGCAGCAGTTGGGATTCTCGCCCGAGCATCTTGCCAACTCTTTTTTGATAGGGTGCTAAATTAGAATTTTATAAGCATATTTATAGATTTGTGAAATCAATGAACAGGCCGATAAGAAAAAATTGATTATATTTGAAGTTCATATTTGATTTTTATCTTTTATAAACTTTTCTTTTCCCTCTTCAATGCGTTATATGTAGTTACAAGTTTTTTCTTAATATGGGATTGGAATCCAAGAAATTAGTGATGATGCCTTCTGTCGTTAAAGCACTCAATTAAACTAGGTCTTAATTGATTTGTAGTTTAGGATCGACTTAAGTCATTACTTCCAAGGAGCAATTTATGGGTTTCTTTAGGTAAAAATTTAGGTGATAAAAAAAATGCAATAAATTGGACCTAAACTAAAATGCAAAATTCTAATCCTAAATGAAAAATGCAAATATCCTAAAATCTATATGAAAATTAAATTAAACTAAATAAATGCAATGCAATTTTTGGAGGGTTTTTTGAAGGAAAATAAAAATAATTAATAAAGAAAATTAATCAGAAAGCAAAGAGAATTAACAAGTAAAAATGGAGAAGTTCTCTTCAAGTAAGGTAGAGGGGACAACTTAGGATTCGCATGAATTCAACCTTCATAACCTTAAACAAAGGGAACCCTCAATTTCAAAAACCCTTAAACTATTAGAGAACTCATAATAGTATAAGGTTGGTTGATTAAGCTTATTAAAACCAATGAAAAATAACTCAATTAATTTTGAAAATTATGTTTGAAATTATTCAATTAAACGATTAGACAATTAACCAACTTAATTAAACAATTAAGAGGCAAAAGAACCCAAATTTTGCAATTCAAACCACATTGATAATTAAACTCATAATGAAAACTCAATTATAAATTCAATTAACAATGCAAAGGTTCTAAACATAAATTCCAACAAATGTCTCAATACAAAAAAAATCCAAATATCAATCCAATCCAAGCATAAAGATGACAATCTAGAACTAAATTGTCTCAATAAAAATACAACTTAAAATTATCTAAAACTAAATAATCTCAAGTCCTTGAATTAAAAAGATAAATGGAACATTACTCCCTTGTGGTCTTCAAGTGCTAGCCCAAGGCTCTAATCTTTTTCATGCTCCTCCTAAGTTGCCTCCCTAACAAGTTTAAGCCTCCATGAAAATTATCTTCCCTCCAAAGTCATTAGATGCCGCAGCCATGAGGAGTAAAGAAGAGAAGAGGATGATTATGTGGATTGTACGTGGAGTAAGAAAGAAAAGGATGTGAATTGACGATGGTGAGAGCGGATGGATCATCTTTTTCTAATATGGGACGAAATATATATGGTGCAATCCGTGAATATGGATGAGGGAAGATATGGCGTAGGCTAGAGGATTATTTTGGCGGGAAAAAAGGAAAATTTTCTTGGATACAAAACTCAAGCCCATTAATACTTAATTGACCCACTTGATATCAACCATTGGATTGTACTTATATTCCAAGAAACAATCTTGCACCGTTAGATTTAATACATGCTCTTTCTTGACCTACAAGAATTTAGGTGCATCCATTAATGTAGATTATATCCAAATATAATCAAAAATTAAATATTAAATCTGCATAAAAATTAGGTAAGAAAGTGCCAAACTTTTTAAAAATAATCTTTCTAAAAATATGAGACTTGTTTTCAAAGAAATAGGAAAAATTAATTCCAAGTCAAAATAGGAAATCACAAAATATCTATATTTTTAATCCAAAATCTCAATTTTTATGCAAAATCCAAAAATCAACCAATTAATTCAATAATACATAAAAAGTTCATTTAAATTCAAAATTATCATTTAAATCCTAAATTATTGTGGGATAAAATATATAAAAATTAGACTTTATCAATTAGTCATATGGCCCTGCTGTAGCATGGCTCTATAAATTTTATGACATACTAACTATTTTCATAAATATGAAAAATAGGAGTTGGCAAAAAGGCGAAAACGAAAATTGGAATGGAATATGCATTTGGATGGGAACCCCTCCAAAACGAGATCCCGATACCAGGGGCAGAAATTTTTGTTTGGAAGCAGTGAATATTAAAACCAAATAATGTTTTCATCATATATCTTTATATTGTGTTTATGAAGTAAAATTGGGGATGAAGAACCAGTGGGGGAAAGATGAGAAGATAAATAATGGTGGGGTGTCAGAAGTTACGTACGCATTCACGTGCTTTGGACTTAGATTCACTGTGTTCCCATCTTCCTGCCATCTCCCTAGTCCCTCCCCTTAAGATATCTAAAATTTTAATAAATTTTTATATTTCTAATTCTATTTAATTACAAATCTCTCATCTTTTACACTAATTGAATGTGTAGACAAATATTATATATAAATAGTTCTTAGTCAAGTTTAACTGACTTTTAATATATGTAATTGGTTATTTGTAGTTTATGAAAACATCATGGGAAGTATTATTAATTATGGAAAATGGACAAAATCATTGTCCGTGATAAAAATAAATAAAAAATTCTCTAAATTCTTCTTTTTCTGTTTTCTATTTTTTTAAACCATAAAAAATAAGCATTTTGTGACACACATGAAATGGAAGGAGTAAATAAAATTCTACGTAACTTTTGTTGTCCCCACATTTTGGCAAAGTATTTTATTGTCATTTCATATACCACTCCATAACTCATTATGGTTTTCAATATAAGAGTTATATAACTAATTTATAAATATTAAAAAAATTAGTTATAGTTATTTGTGAGTGTTGTTTTCTCTAAAATATATTTAATCATATGTATTAGAATAAAAATTATTTAGCATGTATAATCATCATGAAATTACTTTAGGGTGTTTAATTATTTTTTAATTATTTATTTAATTTTGACTGAAAAAAATTAAAGAGATTTTAGAATACAGAGGGGGTGTTCGGAGGAAGGCGAGGTGAAGATATAAAAAAGACGTTTAATGACTATGAGAAAAGAGTGGTGATCAGGGTTAAGAGATAGAAACAAACACATGAAAAAGCAGCTCCAATTGGTGTCTTGTGGGTGTCATCATAGGTTCCAATACAATAACAACTTCTTTCCTCCTCTCTCTTTCTTCCATGAACTTCTACTCTCTCATCCCTATCACCTGTGCGTGTTTGAAAATCAGTAACACAAATCACATCAATTCACGTCTTGAAATTTCTGTTGATCTGTCAATACCTCTCAAGTCTTCTTAAGCATACTACCTTCCAACAGGTTTAGATGTAACACTTGAAAAAGAAAACCTGACCATATTTATGACTCAGTGAACTGAAGCGGGACACATGAAGATCGCCGGCCATGATTTCTATCTTCCGTTCTTTAAGTAAAGCATAACATACGGAGCGAGTTTACATCTTTGGACACGATCGGGTTTCTTCAATTTGGCAGGAGATGAAGAAAATATCCCCAAGGAGATCAAGAAAGACATCATCAACTTTGCATCGCAGAATTAAGGTGAGAGATAGCAACAGCGGCATGGAAAGCAGCTCCAATGGGAAGAGCGTCCTCATCAATCCCAAAGCCGAAGTCTTCTGCTGCCATGATCGTTGGAGATACTTTCACGTTTGGCTTACCCAGCAAAGCTTCTCCCACTCTCTTCACGTGCTCACACAGAGCACTGTCGTTTATGGTTGGAGGATAAGGCCTCATTGTTTCTTCCATGAAGTCCACCATAGCCAAGCATCCCTTCATCACTGCACTTTGCGTCTCTATCACCTGTAAGTAATGTGTCGTTTTGTCTTCTTCACTCTCCAACGTCCACCCACAAACACGTGATTGCATAGAATGGAAAATAACATGGGATACATATACCTCCTGCATTCTTTGCTGAAGGTAGGATTGCTGTTTCTGACGTGAACGTTCTAAAAGTTCCTCCAAATTGGTCCTCCTCCGGCATTTCGTTCTCTGCTGCTCCACCCTTAATGAACCCAACCGATATTACCTATAACGGTATTCAAATGAGCCAACAATAAACTATGGTCTATATTTGACAACAGGATTCTGCAATACTATGAGAACTTGCTAGATGGTATATAGCAGCCTAGTTATCAAGAATCTGGTCTATTAAAATTATAATATAAAAACTGAGAAGGATCCACACCGTTGGACAATCAAGTTGCAAGATGGATACTGAGTATGGTACCTTGGCTTCTAACGGGTCAATTTCTAGTGAAACGATAAGTTGGAGAGCAAGTATAGCGATGGAAGCTGCTAAAATAGGGCCTCCTGCGAGTTGGGCTCGAATTATGACCAGAAATCTGGAAGAGGCAGCCGTAAAGGGGCCAGGTCGCGAAGCGAAAGTGCCAGTTGGTATTTGTGGACAAACAAGCAGGGCAAAAATAGCTTGGACGTCGTGGATGAAAGTGCTTATATGAACACGGACCTTCAATAAGTGTCGCCTGCTACGGAGTAGTTTTGCAGCTCCCAGCAGCATCGTCACATGAGCATCGTGGCCACATGCATGCATTTTGTTTCTGCTCTTGTGATCCCATTCTACCATTTCCTTCCCAATCATAATTTATTCTGGTGAATCATTTGATCACTTTCTGTTATCACCAATAAATTTGAAATGAAATTCTAGGTATAATAACAACAGAAAATTGGAGTAGAATGAGTATCCCTTCTAATCATGTGACTCCACACAAAAATAAGATGGTCCTTGAGAAGAAAAATATATCAATTTCTACCATTCAGTGCAATTTATTTAACATCCAAGGATGGGGTTTTGCCACATCATTATAATATCATTTTAAACTTTTGACAAGCACTCACCGATTTGCTACCCTTCTTTCTGAATTTCGATAGAAGGAGGAAGAGACAAAAAAACAGAAGCGCCTAAAGTCGAATTCTCGCCCCATTAAGACAGACAGATGGAGGGAGGAAGAGTTGGGAGAGAGTAGGTATATTGTAATTCATCTGGTCAAAAAAGGTACATTGTAATTCATGAAAGGTGGAAAAATAATACTGTAATTCAAAATCCTACTACCTCCTGTACTGATGGGAGAGCTCAATTTTCAGTTCCATTATCTGTCTTCTTAGTCCAGCCCAGCAAGATAGTCATGAAAGACGAGGGAAGGGACAGCTAGTTAACGTCCAAGGATGGAGTTTTGCCACGTCATTTACCGTGTATGGTAAAAATATAGAAGATATAAAAGATGACAGGAAAATAAAACGTGAACAGGAAGGGCGTCCATTTGAAAGATAAATAGTTCAGAAGCAGGGAAGGCGAGATTGAGCGTAAATTGGAGCGAGGTGGGCGGACAAGGATGCTTTGTGCTGAACAGCTGAAGTCCAAGTGGTTGGTCGGAGAAGACTTACGACGCCATTAATATCTCCATCTTTCACCGATAACGACCCCTTTAGGTACTGCAGTGCAATGGGCAGCTCATGCCTGTAAATGTAACCCTTAACCAATTCCGTCCTTTCAATCAAAATGGCACACAAACCCGGTTTGCTTAAGCTTAAGAAACCTATATAATGAAACAGAGGAACATATAAAGCCATTGATTTTTTTGCTAAGATAGGAGGTTTCAAATTCAGCACGGGCATCACAGCAGAAGTAATGTAAGCCAAGGATGACGCGGCATTCACTTCTCCGGCCACATGAAATCAATACATCTGACGCCACTAGTGATGTGGCTAGCTAGCTTTTCCCCAGATCGGCAGACATTGATCCACTATTCCTGTTTTTCTCTATTAATATTAATAAGGTGTTTCCTCTGTTCTGCATCTAATTATATAGTGAAGTGTACGGATAGTTTCCAAGTGCTTATTGTTACTTCTAAAAGATGAAGCCTGCATATGCCAGAATTAGTTAAAACGTAACTCTTTATATTTTTATTTCTCATTTAATATAGATGAAATTGAAAAAAAAAAAATCAATTCGAAACAGATTAAATGAGTTAATTTTTTTCTGATAAATTAGTTAAAATAACTTATATCATTAGGTTCCGTCTGTTTCCTTCTAGAGTACAGAAAGCTAGGCAAGAATTGAAAATTTGTTTGGTACAGAAAATGTCACTGTTTAGGTGGAAATGAAATATGATTCCTTGAGCTTGTTTGTTTGGCAAGCACAGTCTGTTTTTGGCCTGCCCATTCCATTCCACTGTGGGAACGGTCATTTCCATGGTCAGCGGAAGCGTCGTTTAATAGAAATACGTCGTAGTCAGCGAGTGGATTCGAATTAGAATTGACACCCATTCAAGTGGCATATCGTCGCCCTGAACTCCTAACCACTTTGATGTCCAAGCTGATTCCAATTTAATGACGATGTACAGAGTTTAACACGCACACGTAATTAATTTATATCACGTAATTAAGAAGAAATACACATAGGTCCTATTTGTTACGAAACATTAAAAATAAGAGATTGGGATTAAAATTGTAATTGAAAAAAATTAGTAAAATAGTATTTAGTATGAATAATTGCTTATTATATAAGATTAGACAGACTCATAGAAGTGAGATTGGGGAATACCACTTCTCTCCATGGTATTCTCCAATCCCACATATATGGGTTTTACTAATCCCATATAACAAGCAATCTTTTATACTACCTCCGGTCCTTAATATAAGATCCTATTTGACTTTTATTTTGGTTCTAAATATAAGACCCCAATCCACTTTGTCTCTCATATTTGTATATATATTTTTCAAAGTAACCTTTCTAACAATGATAGTTCTAGTCAATACACTTGATTAGCAAGGATATTTTAGGAAATAAAACACCTATTTAGGACAGATAACTAACTCAACTTACTTCCTTAATCTCCTCAAATTAGTCAACTGGCTCTTATAATTATGACCGGAGGTAGTATTAAATACCTTTTTAATAAATTTTTTTAATTGCAATCTCAATCCCTCATTTTCAGTGCTTTCTACCAAACGCAATCATAGTGTACATCTAACACAGATTGGAATTCATAACAGAATGCATCATTGTAAGCCATGATCAGTGTTACTCATTTCAAACTACTTGTAACATACACAAATAAATTTGTCCCCGGCCAATTATATAAATCTAGTTAGAAAATGAATCAATTGAAGAAAAAATGATTGGAAAAATTGGAGATAAATACCCTATTGAGAAATTAATTAGCAAATGGGATCTAAGGATTTTGTGTAAGTGAACTTCCGTTTTTGTGCAAGTGATCTTCCCTTTTTGTGCAATTAATCTTCTATGTGTGTGCAACTAATTTTCCATGTACGTGCAGCTGATTTTTCGTATGCATGCAACTGATCTTTCGTGATGTGCAACTGATCTTTCTAGGTCCTATTTATCAATTAATTTCTCAATGGGATAATTATCCCTGATTTTTCCAAAATAATTTCTCACATATGCACAAATTAATCATTATTATTCGGGGCCTTGAGTTAGGACTCAGTGCTACAAGGAGTACCAATATGAAGTGGCCACTTCATGATCCGCACGTTATATAATACTTTTGGTCCTAAATATAAGAGCCAGTTGACTAATTTAAGTAAATTAAAAAAATAAATTTAGTTAATTATTTATAATAAATAATTATTATCTTTTTTAAAATATCTTTATTAATTAAGTATATTGGTTAGAATTATCGTTATTACAAGAACTATTTTAAAAATAAATAAATATAAAAAAATAAAATAAATTCTGATATTATATTTATAATTAAAATAAAAATTAAATAATACTCCCTCCGTTCCTTATTATAAGAGACGAATAACTGAATTACGTTGATAAAAAAAGCAGTTAAAATTAGTTAAGAACAATCAATGTGTAACAAATATAATTTTTTTTTCCAAAAATGCCCTCATTAATAAGGAGAGAGAGCATGAGAGAGAACAATTAAATTATTAAAAGAAAGAGAAGTGGGAGAGAGAGAAAGTGTGAGTTGGAGACAATAAATATGGGTAAAATAGAAAATCAACACAAAAAAATAGAGACAACTTTTAAGTGTCTCCTATATATAGGAACATGCCATAAACATTAAATGTCTCTTATAATAAGAAACGGAGGGAGTACTTGATATTAAAAAATAGATGTAGCATTTAATTTTGCGGAGGAAGGGGGTCCGAACTTGTCGATTCCTGAAACTACGTCGTCGGTCACTGCCTGACTTTGACGGATAGATTTGCAACTTTTAAGATCAGTGATTCAGTGGGTGGCTGTAATTGTCTGCCATCTCCTTGCGGAGCTGGACAATCACAGCATCCCGCTGCTGGTTTTCATTCAAGTTTCTTTTTTTTTTTTGTGCTTTTTTTTTTTGAAAAATAATGATGGAGTAAGAATTTTACATGATCTAGAGAAACGTTTTTTTTTTTTTGCCACCAACTATGGTTAACCATAAAACCGCGAGCTCTACATAGCTGCCAATTAGTGGAGTTTCCTAAACCCCTAGCATGGAGTTTGATTCTTAGCACTGCGTATCAAAAGGATTTCGTAGTCAACGTCAAAATCACTTCAGAAAGTTTATGATAAGAAAGAATTAGTTATTATTAATGGCAGCAAATACTTTTAGTTTGAAAAAAATAATTACTCCTCTAGTCCAATTTATAAGACACTTTCAATATGTTTCATACAGAAAAAAAAAACCTTAAACTTCATTAACTCTCATTTAAAATTTAATAACTTTCTAACTTTAATTCTATTTAATGTACATTATACCTCATAAAAACAAATTCAAAACAATAATAAATTAGGGGTAAAATTATACATTCATACAAAAAATTTCTTTCAGTACTCTATAAATAGGACCAAAAAATACATTATCTCTCTGTCCTATAAATAAGACCAGAGGGGTAACAATAAATAATAGACAAAATAAAATTTTTAAAACTAAATTTTAACTGCCAATATAACGGTCAATTTTTATTTTAAAAACGCCTTATGCTTAAAGTAGAGGTAGTATTAACTATTTTTGTACAATTTACCTTTTATTGGTTATAATTAATCATGTAAAATATTCCTTCTAGTGTTATATACAATTGACAAATAACTACGCCAGTTATGAAGAAAAATGAAAGCATTTACGTACTCTTTGTAAGTATGTTCGCGAAGTGTAACTTTTTGGCCCAATAAATTTTTAATTTTATCAAATGCCACTAGTTAATGACGCTTACGAAGTCAATTTACGTTTAATGAAGGGCATGGAATTTTTTTTGTTTTTTAATTTTTGCCAGCTTGCATTGAAAAAACACTTTCAATGTATGTGAGTAATTAGTTTCTTATATTTAAGAATAAGAGAAGCTATATAAGCTATCTAGATTCT